AAGCTTCAGAATCTTTGCCTCCAAGGAACAGCCTGGTTCAACCTTCTCCAGTATGAACCTGTTCATTTTCTTAGTAGTCCACAGTATATTCAATACTTTTCTCCAATATCACATCTCAAAGGCATTGATTCTCCTTCTATCCTCCCTAGTCATTGTCCAATTTTCTGATGCATAGCAAGTGATTGTAAAGACCATAGCCTGTATCAGGTGCACCTTCGTCTCCAGAGTGATATTATTGCTCTTCAGTACTTTGGAGAGCTCCCTTACAGCAGACTTTCTCATCATAATACGTCTTTTAGTTTCCTGGCTGCTGGTGCCAAGAGTTATGACTGTGGAGCCAAGCAAACTAAAGCTGTTAATAATCTTATTCTCTTCTTCATCCATCCTGATGCTGTCAATTGGCCCAGTGGTGAGAATCTTTGTCTTCTTGATAATGAGCTTCAATGACTATTGAAGGCTGCATCCCTTGACCTTCTGCAGCAAGTGCTTCAGGTCTTCCTCAGTTTCAGCAAGCAGGGTTGTGCCTTCTGCATAACACAGTTATGGACTTCCTCTGATCCTGATGCCACCCTTTTCCTCATAGAGCCCAGCCTCCCAGATAATCTGTTCTGCATACAGGTTAAAAAGTTATGGAGATAGGACACATCCCTGTCTTACACCATTCTCAATTTTGAACCATACAGTGCTTCCTTGCTCTGTCCTGACTACTGTCTCCTGGTCCAAGTTTATTTACTCTTTATTTAATATTTATTTTCTAATCTACTAGAAATTAGAGCTTTATACCGTATCATTGGCAGTTTCAAATATCCTCACTTATCAACATATTGTTGTTGTTAGCTTCCTCTGGGTCACTGACCTTGTGAAGAACAAATCTGAACCTTGTGCTATCACGAGTCATTCTCACTTCTTTCGATCATTATTATTGTAGTCATTATGTTAATCATAGGATCACATAAATTCAAAGTTGTTTAATTATAAACGTTACATAGTTTAACTAGTAGCAAATATTCTAAGTCCCGTGTCTGTATTCTGGAGAGGGGCTAATTAAACAGAACACAGGGTGAAAGTTTCTTCCTTTCAGTGATAGAAACCTCATAGTTCCAAAGTGGGTTTCGCTGGCTGTTGTCACTTGCTCCCTTACTCCATTCAGCAAGCTTAAAATTCTGCTTTTAACACTGGTGCTTAACACATTTTAGGCAAACCTGATACAAAGAGGGTCCCCATGAAATAAGAGTGCTTTCAAGTTTATTGAAATTGTAGTTAAAAAGTAAGAATGATGACATATTTCAATGTCATCCGAAGTCACAAGTCATTTCACAGAACTCTAATTCAGTATTAACCATCAGCTTAACATGTGAGTAGGCTTTTTTTTTGTTCTGGTCTATGATTTAGCCAGGGACTCTGTAGATTGACTTACATAACACTGTTAAGTGAATATAGCAACTTAGGCTATTGTGTTTGACACATATAGTTGTGAAAAGAATTTCTTTTAAAAATTTACATTCATGGATTAATATGCTGATTTAATGACTTTATATAAAATTCTGAAATAGACCTAACATCTTTTCTTGTACAACAAGTAGTTCTTAAGATGAAATGTTCATAGGTAAAATACTTGCAATGGTATTTAGAGACAAATGAAAAATACCAATTCAGATTACTGCCATATTCTGCTAAACATAAAGGAAATTAGTATGTATTTATGAATCATTTTTTATGCCAATGGTATCATGCATGGATCTGTCTGTGCTTTAAACTTTAGGGCATACAGGCAAACTGTAACACCTGGGAAAGCATTTAAATCTCATGTTTTTTTCTTAGCCTGTTAATCATAAATCCAATCTATTTACTGTACTCTGAAGTGATTAATCCATAATGTGTAACTGTTTACAACGACTTACAACTGTTTGCAACTAATGTGTATGTGTGCATGTGCACAGGTGTTCATATCTCAGGGGTTCTATCTTCTGAGGGGAAAACACTACTATCTTATATTCTCAAAAGAACATGTAACACAAACAAGTCAAGGACCACTAAGTAAACGAGTTCCTCTGACAAAATGGAATAGTTAATGGGTGCATACAAGTTTTAAATGATTTGTTCAAGAAGATAGCTTCTTAGTTCTACTTTTTAAAATAAAAATTAGCTAATTTCTGGTGCCATCGTGGTTTTTACCCTTCCCTCATTCCTCCTTCCCCTTCCTAATTAAACATCTTGCTCATAATTGCTAATTGCTATAACTATATTGTGTTTTCATCAGTTGTTCCCAGGTTGATCATCCCGAGTCCTGATCCTTTACAGTGCTCATTGACTGAATGGATGTGCCATTTCCTCCCTATCCTTCCGCCCCTCAGTAACAGTCCTATTTATTATTTGTCCTTACATAACTGAGTTATTTCACTCAGCACAGGGTCCTCTGGCCTTACCTAGATTATATAGTATTTTACAAATTGGTTGTTTCATAGTGCTGCATAGCATTCCACTGTAGGAATGTATCACAGTTTCTCTAGCTACTCATTTGCTAACAGGTATTTCTGTTTTCTTGTTATTGTGAATAACCATGAACATAAATGTACATGTTTCCATCTGTGCCTCTGCTCTGATTTCCTTGGGTTATACTCTTAGTCATGGAAGCAGGGGTGGCATCCACTTCTTAAACAACACGCCTCTGGAAACTCTATGAACTTTGATAAATGATGATAGTTATTGAAAGGCTTCAGGCCTTCTGTTCATAGGGTCACTATGAGTTGTGCTCAACTCAATGACAACAACAAACAAGTGACTCATACACACCTTTCGTTATTAAAGGATTTATTTTTCTGTACCAGGGAGATATATGAAGTCATGGCTCTCAGCTACTGATCCTTTTCCAAAATTCCTTGGCCTGAAGTAAACTTCCTTTCCCAAAGTCATACTGTTTTCTAAGGTGACATATACCCAACATTAGGAGAAATCAGTAAAAAGGGGGATTTCCCCCATTAAGAAGAGCACCCCATGCGGCCAGCTGAAGACATCATATAACTGTGCCAAACTCAATGTCTCCCTCTCCCAACCACTCTCCTGTCCAAAAGACTGAAACTACTAACTCACTCCAGTATTAACTTCACATTTTAATCTGCCCCCAAACCACTTGACTCTGTCTCATGAAGAACCTATGTATGGTAGAACAGAACTGTGCTCCAAGGATTTTCAATGGTTAATTTTTCAGATCAAAGTTGTGTCATCTGTATAATACAGGCTGTTGATGCGTCTTCCTCCAATCCTGATGCTACATTCTTCTTCATATAGTCTAACTTTTCTTATTATCTGCTTAGCATACAGATTGACTAGTTATGGAGAAAGAATATAACTCTGACACATAAACTTTCCTGAAAATTGTTTCTGTTCAGAAAGTTGCTTCTTGATGTCAGTTTTGTGTGAGGACGTCAACAATCTATATTTTGCAGTTGATACAAACTTGCTTGGAGAAGGTGAAGAGATGAAGCATTTACTTAAGATCAAAGACAACTGCCTTAAAGATGGATTACATCTCAACACAAAAAAAATAAAAGAATCCTCACCACTGGACAAAGAGGTAACAACATGAGAGAGGAAGAAAAGATTGAAACTGTCAATGATTTCATCTTACTTGGATTCACAATCAACAACCATAAGTACCAGCAGTCAAGAAGTTGAAAGCTGTGTACACTGAGAAAATCTGCTGTCAAGAATCTCTCCAAAGTGCCAATGAGTAACAATGTCAGCTGAAAGATAAGGTGTGCCTGATCTTAGCTACAATATCTTGAGTTACTTCCCATGCCTCTGAAGGTTGGACAATGAATAAGGATTTCAGAAGAAAAATTGATGGCTTTGAATTGTGGTTTTGTAGAAGAGTACTGATGATCTCATGGACTGTGAATAAAAATCAACAAGGCTGTCTTGAAGGAAGCGTAACCAGGGAGCTCCTTTAAGGCCAAGGATAGAGAAATACCATCGAGCATGTTATCAAGAGCATCCAGTTGTTCTGGAAATAATGATAGGATGCTGGAGAAAGTAGAGGGTAAGAGAAAGATAGGAAGACCCTCAACAAGATGGACTGACTTTAACTGTGGATTTGAGTGTATCAGAGATGGTGAGGATAACACATGATAGGGAAAGCTTCAAATCTGTTGTTTCATAGAGTTGCTATCAGTTTGCTATAAATGGTCAACTTGATGCCATATAATAACAACCATTTCTCAGAAGTAGATTGGAGGCCTTATTACTGATTCACCTCTCAGTGGATTCAAATGTCTGGCCCTCTTAGTCACTAATTTCACCCATAAATCATTAGAACTACCAGGAACTCTGTTACCCTGCCAGGAAAACCAACTTGAGACAATGACAAAGCTAGCAATTTCTATCTAGACTTTGTTTTGGTCTTTTCATTATACTATTCTGACACTGACAGAATTCTGTTTTCTCAAGATAAATGAACAGCACATAAACACACAGAGTAAACTGACATTAGTTTTCAAAAAATAATGGAGACACAAATTAAATATCTAATATAAGAAACTTGAATATACATTAGAAAATCAGTTGGTTCTTTGTGCTTGGACTGTTTTAATGGTGAGTGAGTAATAGGGCTGGCTTCATAGGTTTTTGCTACATGGCTCAAGACATGGACACAAGACATGGAGAATTAGAGTGCTCGGATTTGGGGCCTGGAATATCTTGACATACAATGCATGGTAGTGTTCCAATTTTAGAACTACAATGTATACATTACACAATAAAACTCTCAGATTCTTTGAGTTACTCATGGCTTTTAGGAGTCATCTATTAGATTCTCTGTGCAATAAAGATAAAAGCAGATTAGACATGCTCAAGGTAAATTTGAATCAGGATTATCGTCAGATCTTTTGAATGTTTGTCTAGACTTTTCCACCACTCAGTATAAGCTCCTCAGTGGTCTACTGAACACATAAGTGTTCAGCGACTGACTGGAAACATACGTTCTTTCCTTCGGGATTACTTACCTGGCATCGGCCATTTGCACAGACATCTAAGCCCTGATGTCCACAAGAAGTTCCATCCATCACTTTTTCTGACAGAAGGACGGGCTGTTCTTTTCCAACAGGGGAGCAAAACAGGGCACACGGCTTTTCTGCATACAATGGGGAAAACCAAACAAGTAACTATTACTCTATTGATATTTTTATATTTTTTAAAGTTTTATTATTTTTCAGGGCAATTATTGGATAAAAATATGATAGGATACAAGAGTAGGTAACACTAGAGGAGTATTGAATACAATGCCTGGAAAAAAATATGTTACAAAATGTCTATTAATCTCCTTCCCTTTTAAGCAATTTGGCTGCTAACAATCTTGTAAAATGTATCATTTATTATTCTTTAGTACAATTCCCCTTCCAAACACAGACCAATTATTCTCCCTGAAAGCTGTATTACATCCCTTGACTCTTTCTTCTGAAATAATCTCTCTGCTGCTGATATATATCAGCTTCTTTCTATTTTTCAAGTCCTAGCTTAAGACATATTTCATGTATAATGTTATTCCGATGTTCAAGTTCTGATACACCTTTTTAAAAAAATCCTATCCTAGTGGCCTGGTGGTAAGAAACTGCACTACTATCTCAAAGGCACATGGTTCAAATCCACCAGCTGCTCTAGAGGGAGAAGTATGAGTTATCTACTTCCTTGTGATTTACTACCTCTGAAAATTCACCAGAACATCTGTTATGTGTCAATTCTGACTCTACCACACACAATAACAACATACTTTTGACATTTTCCAATTGAAAAACTACCAAATGAGTAAGGCCTTAAGAGAGAAGCAATTCGCATAATCTTTTCCATTGTTAAGGTTTTCACACATAAAACAAAGAGAGTATCTTGTGCGCAATTGTTAATGCACTTGCTGAAAGTTTAACCCCCTTTATTAATCCCTCAGAAAGTACTTCAGTATGTATGACACCTCAATTGAGAACGACATTCTAGGTGAAGACTTGTCTAACACCTGGGAGTCTTCTTCAGCAGCTTAATAAGGGAAAAATAAGCTAAGGTGGTTGAGTTAGAACACTTGCCCATTAGTCTCAGTCTAAGAGTAACAACGTATTTTTAAAGTGGTGTTTCTATTCTAAGACTCCTTCAGAGAAGCTTTAACATTTGGTAACACTAGTAGTAGGAGAATCCAAATCTGAACTTTCAGAGCAATTTCCATGCTACATTACTAATCTATTGGCTCTACACCAGCCAAGTCCTTTACTATTTATTAAGCTCATATAAATAGAATGGAAAATAGTTTACAGTCACTGACACTGATCTTTGCTTATGTCTTCAGTAAAGTTCCAGGTATGCCGATGGGATTCTATAAATACCAAATAACAGCCAAAAGCACAGAATGGAGTATATCGCTTTGCAAAGAGACGACAGTTAAATAAGCTTTCAGAATTGAACATTTCGAACAGTTTTCACATGTGGCTTCTTAATACCATGCTGAACAATTCTAGGGAGTTGGAACATGGCCCTTCATGTGAATGGTTTTGAAATTTTCCTTTAACATGCCATTATAAGCTACAATAAAGCATTTCAGTGTGCTCTCACACCTCAAAGTAGGTTATGTTTATTCAGTGACTCTGCTTACTATATCTTATCTTTAGGTTTAAAAACAGCTGAAATAATTGCAACACTTGCTAAGTATAATTTTCTTCTTTTGGAGTTTTTATTGACAAGAGGCGCAAACTAGTATATGAAGAATAGCAAAAATGAGTGAGCCTCCTAGAAAACTTAATTCACAACCTCCATAAGAATTCAGATAAAATTTTTATTTCTTCTCATAATGTATTATAATAGATTATCAATATAATATCTTCTGATATTCTGCTTATTTTAGCTCTACAAATGACACAAGCATTTGAAACCAAACTTCCTTCCTGGAGTTACCCACAAGACTATGACATTGTAACAATCCATGTAACACGCCAGCACTTGGCGAGCAAGATCTGAATCCATTTAAGAAATCAACTCTTCCAAGATATGCATTAGACTGATTTTCAACCAAATTTCAGCACAGATTATGGAAAATACCTGGACTTAACACCTGAAGCCATGTATCTCTTTTTTCTAAAAACAAATGTTGACTAATGCTGGCTTAGTGGTACGAAGTTGTACTGGCAAACCAAGGGAACATAGTTTGAATCCACCAGTTACTCTGTGGTAGAAAGATAGACAAACTCCTCTCAACCAATTTACTGCCTCTGAAAACGTGCTGGAGGGTCAGCTGTGAATCAGTCCCTATTTGATTATACCTAACAACAGAAACAGCTGCATTAGTATTTTACATTTACTCCTCCTAGGCCTAGGCTCATGTATTACACGAGAGTACATCAGAGATGGCTACTAGTATTTTATAAGTGTTAAGACACCTTTGAATTCTTCTTTTAAGGATTCTATGTTTCACTTTCTTCTGTAGCACAGAGGCTAATTATAATTAGTGCTGCATAACCAATTCTTCATACAGATTTATATGTTTAACTGATGTATAATACAAGATTTTAAGAAATGTCAGCCTACTAATTATAAAAATTATTACATAATTATAGTAATTGCATGTTGCCATCGAGTCGCTTGCGACTCATAGCGACCCTATGTACAACATGTACAACATCCCTAAACCCTGCTCTATCCTGTGCCAATCTCACTGCCTCTGACACATCCATCCCGATTACCCCAGTCACTGAATCAATCCACCTCATAGAGGGTCTTTCCCTCCTGCGCTGTCCCTCCACTCTGCCCAGCATGATGTCTCTCTCCAAAGACCTGTCTCTCCTTACAACATGTCCAAAGTATGTCAGGCGAAGCCCCAGAATCCTTGTCTCCAAGGAGAAGCTTGGTTTAACCCTCTCCTGGATGAATCTGGTTGTTTTCTTGGCAGTCCATGGTACATTCAATACTCTTCTCCAGCACTACAACTCAAAGTCATTAATTCTCCTTCTATCCTCCCTAGTCACTGTCCAACTCTCTGATGCATAACAAGTCGTTGCAAAGACCATAACCTGTATCAGTCACACCTTAGTCTCCAGAGAGACACTATTGCTCTTGAGTACTTTAGAGAGGTCCCTAACTGCAAACTTTCCCATCGCAATACGTTTTTTGATTTCCTGGCTACTGGTGACAAGAGTGTTGACCGTGGGGCCGAGCAAACTGAAGCTGTGAACAATCTCAATCTCTTCACCATGCATCCTGATGCTACTGATTGGTCCAATAGTGAGAATTTTTGTCTTCTGGAGATTGAGTCAGAGGGAAGCAGCTGAGGCCAGGCACCAGAGAGGACATCCACAATAGCTTCTGACATGCCTCCAGGTAACAAGCCCCAAGGCGGAGCCTAAACCGGTTGGGTCCTCAGGCCTGCGGCCCTCAGGCCAAGAAGAAAAACACAATCTATACAGGAGTTCTACAGGACACATCACCTTCCCTTTGGAGACAGTACAAGTAAACTTAAGAGACACTGGACACAGGAAAAAAAATATCTCTGACAAGCTGTCAAGTCATGGGTCGGACAATGGGACATTAATTCTGAAGGCATTGGTAGAAGTGAAGTGGTATCCTGCTGGAGGGTGGAGCTGGGAGTAATTGTATAAATTATATAAATTACATATATGTATCACATTGATTATAAGCATTTCTTCATATTTGCTTAGAGTTAACTTATTATTTCCAAAGGCTTTAATATTTTGAATTGATTCCCTACAAGCTCTGCTTTTTTCAGTCTTGAAGAAATCTTATAGCCTCTCTTTTCTGTCCCTTTGTCACATGTGACAAAATAGGCTTCAAATGAGGGAAAAACTATCAAGATATTATAGCTAGTTAGAAAGAGTTAAGATTAACTTCAAAATAATAAGATTACTTCAGGATATATAAAATCATACTGATTATATGTTTATGTAGCAAAGGATAATGGTATATATTCAATTTATTCAATGAACATTCTTTGACAATCTATGTCAGATGGTATTCTATGTATATGCATTAGGTGGAATACAAATACATTAAAATATAACTGAAAGAAAACCTCCTTGCTGTTGAATTGGGACTGACTGAAAGCTCACCCTCCATTAGGTTTTTTAAGCCATAAGTTATATGAAAAAAGATTGCTCATCCTTCTCCTTAAGAGCTGATGGCTTAGAACTGTAAGAGAAGAAAGAGAACTTTCAGTGTAACTCCTTATGGATGGGACCACCAGGGCTCCCTTCTGTGTTACAGTAGGCTAATTTGGGGTAGTTGGATGAAACACACACCCATTTGAAAGATAAAGGGATTTGTTTTTCCTAGAGGGATTGACATAAAGTGAGTAAAAAAAGTGAAAATATATATTCAAGGTAAATGAATAGAGATCAAAGATTGAGAATGAAAGTATATTATTCCAAGAGACCAACATGTATGGGCCTAGATAAATAAGAGTAGGAAGTATTTGAAAAATAGACTAGAACGTAGACATTTATACTGGAATCTCAAAAAAGATTGGAAAGTGTTAAAGCATGTTAGAAACCAGGCAACAGAATGCTCTTGTAAAGCATGTAAGAGAGTTGACATTCGTTATGAGGCAAATGGAGTTCACAGAAGAGTATTAATTAGGGCAATGTTTGCCAGATTTGGCCTTTATACAGGTCAGTCAAGAGGAAATGAGGAATAGAGACTAGAGGAAGATGAAGGGTCAGAGGGGTCATCAGGGAAGCTGATTGAGCAATCCACGATTGTTGTGCTGGTTAACTGATTCATTAAGGATGGAGACTGAATGAAGAGATTCTGAGTTCGCTTGGTAAGTGAAGTCCATCACGATGCCATTCTCTGTGAGAGAAAACAATCGGAGAAGCAGAGAACAGAAGTGGGAGAAAAGGGGAAGAGGCTGTACATAAATTGGAGGTGATAGGATGGAAGTAAATGGGATACTAAGAGGAGATGCCCATGCAATCAATGGATAAACAGGTTAAGAGTTTAGAAGAAAAAGATCCAGAATGGAAATAAATATTTGGGTTCCATTAGCACATATATGATAAGTAAAATGTTGTTGTTGTTGTTGTGTGCCATCAAGTCAGAACTGACCCATAGCTGACTCTCCAGGGGGTTTTCAAAAGCACTTAATTG